CGACCACTGAATAATTACTACCCCTGGAAAAGTTTTTACCTCACTCGATATAATATCGCTGGATTGATCAAAAACTTTCTGCCAGGAATAGTACGTCGAAAGTGACAATATTTGGGACGCCACGAGTACGCCGTGGCATAGAGAGTTTAATTGTGAACTCTCCTGTTAATACGGTGAATATGCAAATGCTCGTTGCTTCATAATTCTCGTTCGAATAATTCCAGGGAAAATTTCCAACCCCCGACATTTCGCCCCGATTAACGTTTCCTGTCGTTACTATTATATTTCGAACATCTTCAACGATTTCCGACTATTCAATTAAATTAATCGACTAAAACGAGTGCTCTTAGAATACTCGACGTCGAAGGAACGCGATGTTCCTAATTTTTATCTATGTATACATAATTATTGCATAGAAAACTGAATTCCAATACTAGAAAAATTACTGTTAGGACCATTTATTTAGGAGACGTTGGAGAACGTTTCTCTCCTACGAGGCGAGAGAGCTTCGGGAAGTTCTCAGCGGACGTATAAGTGAATTGAAGCTCTAAGCAAGTTAGATCCGAGAACTGGTTCGAGTGAAAGAACCTCGACACGCGACTCCTCGCACCTACCGTGGTAAAAACGAGACTTGGTGCTTTTCAAAACGAGAACCGACCAAGAAACGGATCTCAGAGTTTCTGCAGGCAACCCGGGGACACTAAAGTTTCCATGTATTTTCATAGGCACCCCCGTGGGTGTTTCCGTTTCCCTCGGTCGCCATGGCTTTTAATAGCCGTTCTACAGTTACTATGGTCGATGTCTAAGGTTCTGGTACAATACTACACCAATACCTCGCTTTGCGTCGTTTCGTTTTGCGTTTTTTCGAAGTTGCGTCGCTGCTTAATTAGTAATAATTTTCACTGTGCGTCGTTAGATTTTCGAGGTTGCGTTGTTTTCGGTTCGAGTCTTTAATTTTTTTTTTAAAATTTTCTTTTTTTTCTAAAAGATGGCAACACTTTTGTTTCTAATTGCGCCATGCCATCAAAACACGGGGATTCCCTTTCTAACTAAAAATCAACGCAATTTTAATACAGTTTTATTTTCACTTTGTTTTGCTAATTTTAGAGTTCAGTTTCAATTACGTAGTGCGTTGT